ACTAAAGTATTATAGATAAACCTTCCTTTTCAAAATCAGGCCTTTTAGCAAGAAAGAAACTTTTCCGGCATCAGAGTTCGAGGGAACATTTATTGAAATGTATACACGGCTAGACTCAAACATCCTAGAAGTTCTTTGTTGGTATATGTAAGTTCAAATTTATTTGGCTAAAGCTGGAAAGGAAACATATAATTTTTAAATAGTTATATGGTTTAAAGGAGATTTTATTTTGTTTGGGGGGAGGCGAAGTGAAATGCTGAAAGTTTCAGGGATGAATCCAGACCGTACAACATGTAAAAACTTTTGAAAAACAAACAAAATCCATTTTTAAAATCTAATAATGATTTAAAAACATCCCTTAGAAAAAAAAAAAAAAAAAAAAAAAAAAAAAAAAAAACCATAAAAGACAAAGTACGTAAAAGAAAACGGAAAGCTATACAGGAGTTATAACAATATGCTTATGCTGCAAAGAATTTATGTAAACCAAAATAAATACTTGATAGTGCAACTTAGTGGTTTTTCAGGATTGCTTTCAATATTTAGGTATTTTTGCTTAAATTTTGTAAACCAGATAAATTTAATTTTATTTTGCAACATTTACCACTTTAATGTACTAGGGTGATCTTCAAGAAGAATTAAATTATTTAATCAGCGATTTTATTTCAAAACGGACTTTTTTAGGTTGTCAAATTACTTTGTATTCAGATGGTTTTCCAAAATTTTGTGCTGCACAGGCTACCATGAACATAGGTTCTCCTGAATCTTTGAATACATTTCTAAACATTAATATGAATTGAAAGTGATTCTATGCAAAAGTAAATTTTTACATGCAATACATATAAGATCATGAATCGCCTCAAGGCACATTTAGGATTTCTTTCCAAAAATATATTATTGAGGCTAAAATGTAAACTTTTTTTTAATTTAAAATAATGTATAATTTTATAAATAAAATATTTATAAGTTATTTCTCCCGCCTTCTTCGTGGTGTAGCGGTCAGCTCAGTCAGCGCGTATTCGAGAGGTCCGCGGTTCGATTCCCGGCGAGGGCATTGGCCATTTCACATCTCTCCTACTTCTAAAAAAGGGCTTAACATCTTTATATATTTAAACTCTGAAACGAGTTTTAGGTGGAAAACGACCAGTTTACTGGAAATGAAAATTTTCGTGTTTTCTGTCCGTGTCTACTTCCTCCCACTAAAATAAAATTGTTAAGAAAAATTATTGGTGTGGTTACCCGTACCCGTTTATTTTATTTAAAGTTTCATTTCATTGATATCGCATTTAACTTTTATGGGAATCAAATGCTCTTAATTATATATTTAATATGTTCGTACATATTTTCTCGATAAATAATAATTCTTCAAAAATTCTAGTTTTCTACTTGCCAGAATGTTCTCATTCACTGAAATTTACAACAGCGACTGCGTAATTGGCGCGAATAATTTTGTGAATAACGATTTTGCTCTCTTTTTCCACCTTTTTGTCTTAACAACTGGATTTCTCAGTCTCTGAGTTTAACACTAACTTCTTTTTAATAAACAAAAGCTAAATATTGTTCGAAATCGCTTAGTTCGCAAATTTCGAATAGCGGAATATGACAATAAACAGTACAAAGGCAGAAAGCTTTTAGAGATTAGCCTTCTGATGCGGAACTCTTTTTTAATGTTGCGTGAAAGCGGTTTAATAAACTTGAGTACATTGCAACCTACAAATTATTTTGTTTGTAGGACATATTGATATTTGTTAAGGAAACAAACTATTATGGACTCAATATCAGCTATTTCAAAAAACACGCCTGACAGAATAAAATAGCATTTGCGCTCTCAGCAAATAAGAAATAGTTTTTTCTTCAGAAAACACGGATAATATCACTTGAATTCAGAATAGCTTCTCATGTGTAGATTATCAATCGGATAAATAGAATTTTATGTTGCAGGGAGACATCACAGCGCTTTCAAATTGTAATAATGTTCTTGCTGTGCGTACTTTCAAAGCTTTGTGTTCTAACTGAACACAACTAAATGAATCAATCATCCGTGAAAGGCTCAGTTATTCGTAAATAAATCAATCATCCCTTCAAGGAAATATATCCGTTCAAGTAATTGTTAACTCTAGGATATTTAAGCAGCAGAAAAGTTGCGAAATAAATTTAAATTGGAAAAAAAAAGTCCGGAAGATTTCAGATTTTAAATTACGTCCGAAGGGACTTTTTTTAACGTTATGTGTGTTACCTTTATTTAATTAATATCACGTTCTTTCCACTTAAACCATAAAATTCAGTTCAATAGCAATGTCGCAAAATAATTTTAAAATGAGCATATCTTTAGAATTTCTGATACACAGTTCCACGCGCTGGAGATAAAAAGGTCTTTTCTTTTTTCACCGTAGAGTGTTGCCATTGCTCGCTTTGAAAGCCTTGAGTTTGTTAATCAAAAATTCCTTAAAAGTTTACAAAATAAAAAATCGATAATAAAACAAATTCCAAATTTCAAATTTGGTCTTTCGCATGCCTATATTCGTAGGAGAATTACGTCATTCAAAATTTGATGGCTCTATGCACCGTTGTTTCATCACAAAGGAGAAATATACATGCATTTAATGGAGATTTTTCATTATTTAATTTATTCAAATATAATGCAGGATACTAACATTTGGTGGCAACATTTTGAAAATTGAAACGGACATTTAGCGTGATTCTACGCAAAATCACAAAACGAAAACAATAGTCCTTCAGGGACAAAGCACCTTTGGACTAATAATATTTTCTTTTTTTTTTAAATTATGTACCTATGATTATAAGCTGGGTATTATAAACTGCTTATGATTATAAGCTGGATATTATAAACTGCTTCTTCAGATTCATGAAAAAATTATACTTACTTTTTGACTAAGGGTTAAGTAAATTTACATATTTATAAAGTAATGAGAAAACAGCAGAAGTTTTTCCGAGTCTTGTTAAAATATTTTATTGAAGAATTGTATCTGTAAAATGAATTGATAGACATCTTATATGTATTTCAATTTAGAATTTATATTTTCATATCGTCTCATTTTCTAATAAAGAAACGAGCCAAAATAGACCTTAGCAATAACCCAAACAGGTGTTTTTTGACTGTTAACTATTCGGAGAAATCTGTTTTACGAGGAATGATGCATATGAACTTTAAAGTATCAGGGACAAGTAGCTTCTTTTAAATGCAGTCTGTGAGAAAATTTCTATAAAATCCTTACTTTTTACTTATATTTGCATGCGTAAACAAAGACATTTCTTACGAAAATGGTTTTCATAAAGGAAGCGGAAAAGTATGGCATCCTTCAGAAATTTATATAAACTTTGCGGATGCTGGTGAAGTGGCACAAGATAATGGCATATGATAGAGTCATACAAAGCACCCATTCATCACGGAGTGGCCGTAACTCGCTTGGCTGGCGCTGCAGGGAGAGATACAGTAACTGACTATTTAATAGGCTCAAGCGGAGCCATATATAATGCTTTATTGCCCGATAACGTTCCGATATGAAATAGAAATGACCCAAGAAATCTCTCATTTGATTCAATGCAGATTCAGTTGAGATTTATTATTCATTCGGTTCAGAAGTAGCAGTTTTATCAAGTACAGCAATATATCAATAAAACTGAAATAAGAAAAATTTGCTTTCTTTTCAATGGGCATTAAAAATATTTTTAGCAACCAAAGACTAAACGATAATTATTTATAAAGCTTTTGGCTTCACCCTCTTCTTGTGTTCAACATTAATATTAATTTTTGAAATTCTTTTAGAACTTTTTGGATTGCAAGAGAAAAAAATTAAAAAATTAGAATACTTCATTTAATGTAAGAAAGAAAAAATATATCTTAATACAAGTAATTAAAGTACTAAAAATTTAAAATATAAAGCTACATTAAGAAATATATTTAATTCTTTTAAAAAACAAAATAATCGCTGTAATTGGTTTAACGGTTCTCATCCTATAGATAAGCTAATTCCGGGACTGTACTCTTACGCAATTCAGAGCATTTATCTAATTACAATAGCTAATCCTTTGCAAAATGTATTGCTTATCATACGATTCAATTATAACGAATCATATATGCACAATAACACAATTTATACTGCACATGTCAAGTGATGTTCCTACAGAAATGTAATATTAATTCCCTTATCAATATTCTGCTAAGCAATTTTCAGTTAGAGAAAATTTCTAATCGAATCTAGATTGAATGGGAATATTCAGGTTAATTTTTGCTGGAAATATAAATTCGTGACTTTTGGCGCAATATTTATTTGGAGACAGTTATAAAAATTACAATAAATAGAACATGGCAAATTGCTTTAATTTAAATCCTCATTCGAATTCCTCCACAAATTTCTCAACCAGCTTGTCGCGAATTTTGTCCAATTGTTATCGTTAATTGCCAGCCCTTTACTCCATATCAACGTTAACCAAATGAATTGAAATTGCAGGTATGAAAAAATGAAATTATCAAATGATGAATTATTATGAAAATGAATTATTATGAATGATGAATCATTATGAAAATGAAATTATTATGAAAATTATGAAATTGTTATGAAAATTATGAAATTATTATGAAAAAATCAGCAATATAAAAGAATTCAGTTGTCTTTGTAAATATTTTGAAAATTAAGGGCAACGAAATTTTATTTACTGGTTTCATTTCATTAATTATTTTTTATTTATTTTGCGAGCTTAATTGATTAATTTAGCTTGTTGAAAGATAAGTATAGACACTAAAATAATTTATTTTCCTCTTTTATTATATTTTATCTCAAATTTCTTGTTTCAGCATTGACACGAATATTTGTTACAAACATGTTACAAACTGACTAATTAGTGTATGTTTACTTATAGCTGTCCTCGACTTTTAAAAATCATAAAGCACACTTAGTTGTATTCAAAATTAGTTATGAAATATATTTTAGTATGTTCACTTCAAAAGAATCTTCCCAACATTATTTTCTTTTCATTTCAGAAAGGAGGCTTAGAAGTGATGGTCTGGATCCACGGAGGATTTTTGCAATTTGGAAATGGAAATGAACCTGGTCTGAGTCCAACTGCAAATTTGGCACAGAAACTGGGCGTGGTTTTTGTATCAATGAATTATAGACTCTATACTTTAGGCTTCATGGCTCTAGACTTGTTATCTGATAACATTTTGACTGATTCCAAAGGAAACTATGGCTTATGGGACCAACTCTGTGCGCTACAGTGGGTGAAAGATAACATCAAAAATTTCGGTGGAGATCCTAGGAAGGTAAATTAATCATTCTTTCCTAAGCGTCATTTAAATTGGACTTATATTTTAATGTAATTCGACGCTCTCTGTGCAAATTTAAACAGAAATTTGACATACCGATGCAAACGTTTCTGATAATGTGTGTATGGAGATATCAAAATTTGATAAACTGTAAAACAGCGTGACAACTGAGTTTTGCTCACCGTCGTCATTTGTATTGTGGAGTTTGTACAGGTACATAATTAATTCATTTAGAAATACTTAGTTGAATAATATTCTTGCGAAGCACTTATATGCTTATCAAACGAATGATCTGTTGAAAGATTGTTCAATTAACACTTTCTAAGAGGTACCCGTGAATTATTTCAGAAGCGATTGTGTTGGCAATTAGACGAAATATTTATATTGCATTGCAATCGCATGTGAACTTGGAGCATTCTATATAAACACGCAAGTATTCACAAACTATAAAACAGTTACACATAAAATTATTTAATATACTCTGATTTTTAATCAGGTACTGATAATATACTTTAGCTTCAAAAACTCATGTCTGTAGCTGTGTATTAAGATTTTCCTTGGTCACTATTTATCGCAAAATGTAATGCATAGATATTTTAATTAGACTATATATTTGACTGAATGAGAAAAGAATATTTTTGTGGGTTGGCTAGCATTTAAATAAGATACCGAAACATTCGTAAAACTACTGGTTTTATTTAAGAATTTTTAATTTGTCATTCTTAGTTCTTTTTTCCTCTCCACATTATGATTTTATGAGCTATTAACTAATGACAATTAAGGTTTTTCACCTGATAAGTCATTACTAAAGTTTATCTTTTAAATAGCTAATATTATTTCAAGCAAAAGTCCGTTTAGAGAAATGAAAAAAATTGAGTAAAAAGCATTTATTTTTAGCCTAACTTATAGCTAAGACCACCATTATTACAAGGCTATTTTCTTAAGCTATTAAAGAATCGGGATATGTAGCCTTTAGTATATGATATTTTATGAAATTATTATTAAATTTAATGGCATCGCACAAGTAAGTATATGATTAATTAATGAAATTCCGAGAGAAAATCCTGAAAATACATCATATGAAAAAAAATTTTCCTTCACTTTCTTTTCCTTCTTCTTTATTATTTTTTATTTATTTCTTTTTCTATTTAAGGGGTACATAAAATGTTACTATTAAGTCAGCCTAAGATACAATTATCTTTATCCAGGTTTAATAAAAACCCTGAGATTTATAGCAGGTAACAGAAATTTAATACATTTAAATAAAAATATAGAGAATAGTGCTCATATTCACAAAATTTGTTTACTCCATTAGTAATCTTTCCCCTGGCAGTAACAAAGACAAGAACTCTGACTCAACGTAGTTACTGGATAAAACAGGATTTTAATTGCATTTTATAGAATAATCCGAGTTTTCGCGACAATTTAACCTACAAAAGGGAACATTCAACACCCTGTGGCTATGGATATGGAAATGGCTTTCAAAAATAATTGTACTCTGGAGAGCAGTAAAAAGTACATTCGTTTATAAAATCAGAATATTTTGGGGCTATATATAAACCTAATTGCTTTCTGATGTACAATAATATTTATTTTGCTTCCATGCAGCAGTTTATTGCATATGTAATTCATTATGCGTAATACATTTTCAAGAAGCTGATTTTTTAGAATGAATTTTCATCTAAGCGAACATAAACAATAAAAAATAAACTTATCAGTTCTGGTTCCATAAATTTTAATTCAAAATTTAATTTGTAAAAAAAATTTAAATAGCTCTTTAATATATTTTTGGAAAATACAAGCTCTCAAGCGAATAATAAGGGAATATATTCGCAGTCAATTGCGTGAACAAGACGGCCGTAGTGTATTAGTAAGTTGAATATAATACTTTTGGAAATAATGTAAACAAATAAATACTCAAACTTCAAGTATAAATAGTCTATAAAATTTCATACTGAAGTACGAAAACACCTAGGAGCCAGTTCATCATTTCGCACTAGAATAAGACAAAATTTCGCTTGAGTTTTGGTTATAGGAAAGGCCGTAAAAAAACCAGTAACAGAATCATATGGAGAGTCTTAGAGTCATACAGGGAGGATACGTACTGGTAGCCCAGAAGAAATATCTCTTCATCAGACTCCTGTGCATGTGGTGAAAAGGGTCACCCCAAACATTTTCTATTTTCCTGCCCGTTTACAGATTCCCTTCATCTAAGGAAGCCAAATTCAGAAGAGGATTTATTCCCATTTATAAGATATGTAGTTAAGAGTAAGCACTTGAGGAATAAAATTATGAAGCTTATTGACATTTGGCTGCTAGAAGTCAGTAGCTATGTAGTGTAATTTAACCTTCAAAGAAATGCTCCAGCAACAGCAAAATAAAGCAATTAAAGGCAGATATAATGTACGCGGGCGTACCTTTATAGGAACGAAATAAGCAAACCATATGAAGCACAAAATAGGTCATTCACAAGTAGGGTAAGGGACTCCTATCTGTTTACTTCGGGTAAATAATAGATGACCCCCCTACATTTCTATGTAACATAAGGTCACATTACCTGATAAGTGAACACATATAATAAATTGCCAGCATTGAATTGGTAAATTTTCAACAATGTAATGCATCATAGAATGTAATTCATGTAAACTAATCATTGTAAAAACACACGAAACTGCATACAATGAACTAACAAAAATGAGTTGGTAATGTATCAGCATATGTATGCAGATGTATCTAAAAATACGTAGTAAGCATACGTATGCAGACGTAGCTATTTATTTGTTTTGTTTTCAGACTCATTTATGTATTTATTTTTTATTATATTTTATATTCTTTTCTAATTTTGACTCTTGGTTATAAAAAATGATGCAAACAAGTCATGATTGTAGGTATGATGTGTATACTAGAAATACGTTGCTTCTAGCCACCACAATTTATAATGTCATGATTAATTTTTACATGCAAATAACAATGTACTGCTAGGCAATAATGTAATTTTTGAAAATCAATTAACACAAAATCATACGTAACAGCGCATAATAAATCGTCAAAATTGAGCTGTTAAAGTTTCAGCACAACTTTACAACAGTACATAAATGTAAGCTTTGTAAACAATTTTATAGTTCTTAATTAATTCTGATAGTAAACAGATCATGTTTACAAAAATAATTTGTAACTTGGGAATATCACGCCTTTTTCTAATGCAATAGATAATGTCCTGAAACATGTTGCCTGTACCCAGTACAATAGAGAACATCTTCAATATGTACCTGCACAACTATGTATATCGCAATGCATATCATGTTATGTAATCCCTTTTACTTGAGCTAATTTAACGCTGAAAGGTTTAGAAGTACCGTTGATGCCGCCGGCGGTGGCAGAACTTGTAGTGCTCGTTGGAGTCACAATTTCCATCACGACTCGAGGAGTGATGCCAAAATGTTCTTAGTTTTCTAGTTAGCGTGTGAGGCTAATATCTACTTACTTAAGATAAATATTAGGTGGCCTCCTTACTTCTACATAACATAGCTAATAGTAGGACAGGGAAAATATGAAATATGAAGATAAAAGTATGGCTATTCAAAGATGTTGAATCTTGTTATCCTTTTGTTTAAAGGGATTTTTTCGTTATTATGTTTTTGTTTATAGTTTTCTTTATATAAATATTTTAATTGTAATATCACCTAGAACAAAGCGTATTTCCTAAAATATGGTTGATGCAGCATGAAATGTTGTAAGTATCGCGCTGTTATTCGTAAGTATCGTAAGCATCGTATTAATGCCGTAACTATCGTATTGATTCGTAAACATTGTATTGATGTCGTAAGTATAGTGTAACAAAGCAATGATATTTATTGACTCATGAGATCTTAAGCTCTTATTAGTTATATATATCCTATTTTATTACTAATATATATCCTATTTTTATAAAATAAGTTTAGCATGTAAAATGAGCTATAGCAGTGTAATATCACTTCTATAAACGATATTTAATTAACAGATAAATAGATTTCTGCATGCAAAAGATAGATTCTTTTGCATGCAGAAATTAAAAAATACACAATTCATACGAATATCAGTAATTTCATAATTTAATGTAAGATACATGAGTATTTAGCTCATAGCACTACGTTTAATGATTAAATGATTCGATAATGATGAAGATTCACTATAAAGTATACAAATGTAAAGAGTGTTAGAATACCGATGTAAATATTAATTTGATATTTATCTGTTTAGGCATTAAAGACATTACAGTTTTATTTATATTTAATTAAAATAATCTAGCTAATAAATAACTTAGTATATTTAATAACTAAAGAAAAGTTTTGATTGAATCATGCTTTATAGAATTTATGTTGTGCCTAATATGTATTTCTCTCATTCAGTGTCAAGTTTGTGTCCATAAGAACGTCTGGCGTTTCCATTGGTTAAACTAACTTTAAAAGAGAAGAAACGAAATTGGGATTTATTCAGAATTTAATCAATTTATAATTGCATTTTAGAGCAGTATAAAAACAGGATTGTTTAACTTGGGTTTTAATTGCATTAATTGCATATTTAAACAGGGTTAGATTAAAAAACATCTATAGTCTCTTTTGAAATATTTGTAATAATATGTTTTTACATTTTTCAGTAACTACTTTTTGCATTATAAAACATACATTTCTTAATGTTATTCATTAAAAATAGCTTTAAATACACTTCAGTTAAAAACGTCATAATGAAATTATACTAAAAAATAATGCGAATCGTAGTTCAATCCTTTTCAAACATTTTATTTTTTAACACTGTATTATTTCGTTATCCATGCATTTTTAAGATGTTGTCAAAAATGTAAGACAGATATCAACCTCTGTACGTTCCGTTGTTAAAAATAGTGGACTGTAAATTGACTTGATATTACTTCAGTATAGAACCCAAAAAACCTCAGAATCATAACGGTGACCGAAACTTCTTTATTGACTTTCAAAGTAAGTTAGTTGAGGAACGGCGAA